GGGGGGGGGGGACCTCTGGTGCAAGATCGGTGCCCGGCCGCCCCCACCCCTGGTGGAAGGCGCTTGCCTCTGGGCCGGCGGCCCCCGGCCGTTTGAGAAGCCCAAAGCATAGCCCCGGCTGCCGCCCCTGGCTGGGAGCTGTCGCCGGGCTGTATTCCGATCCCGGCCGCCGCCGCCCCTTCCGGCCTGAAGGTGGCGCGTTTCAGATCTCCGGCGATCCCGCGTGTTTGCGTGGGTGCAGGCTTTTTACTTTGCCCTGTTGGCAGAGGGTGCGCCTGGACTCCCAGGCAAGCCCTCATCCTCTCTCCCTCCCCCCCCCCTTCCCCTCCCGCTCTCCTCTCTTCTTCTGGCCACACTGCTCTCCTTGCATTTGAGCGCCTCCCCCCCCCCTCGCCTGCCCGTGCCTCTCTGCCCCGCCTCCCCCACTCGCCCTCCCTCTTGCCCCCGCGACCAGCCCCAGTGTCCTGTGTTGAGCACACCAGGCTGATCGCGCTCCCCTCTCCCCTCTAGTCCCTACAGACATCCGCACGATGCCGCCTGCCCGAAAGCCCAAGGCCGAGGCGTCTGCCTCCGCCGAAGTCGATCCCAGTCAACCGGTCGACTCGGCGGCGGACCCGGTCGCGGCTCCCTCCTCATCCGGCGAGTCGGCTCCCGACGGGGACACCCCCCCGCCCACTCGCAAATCCAAAGTCTCCGCCAAGCGGTGCGTCCTCCACTCGACTGGGCGGTCTCCCCCTCCCCTCGGTTTCGAGTGCCCTTCCGCACCATGCCCCCGCCCCTGGTGGCTGGCCATCTTTCCCTCGGCCTTTTCTCATTCATGGTATTTGTCTTTTCCAGCGCCGAGCAGAACCGCGCCGCGCAGAAGCTCTTCCGCGAGCGTCGCATGAAGTATGTCCAATCTTTGGAGGAGGAGGTGAAGACTCTGAAGGAGAAGCTCGACCACTTGAATGCCCTCGAGTTGCCGAGCGACGTTTTGGCAGCATGCCCGATGGCTGCGGCGGCGGCCGCGGCCGCAGCCTCCGCTCCGTCATCCTCTGCACCCCCCCTGCTGGCCCCGGGAGCCCGGTCCATGGGCGATCTGCTGTCGGCCATGGCCAACGCGCGCGCCGATAATGCTGCCCTTCGTGATGCCCTCCACATCCTGCTGACCCATGCCCGGTCTCAGCAGGCGGTCATCGAGGCCTACAAACGCCAGGCACAGAGCTTGCAACTGGTCATCCAGGCAGAGCAGCTCCTCCCGCCGGCCATCCCGATGGCCGACACGTATGTCACCCGCTCTTGCCACTTGATGCCAGCCTCCGCTCCCGCCTCAGCATTGACATCCTCCCTCTCTGCTCCTCGCCCACATACACACACACACACACACACATCCACACCTTCCCTTCGCCCGCTCTTCCTTCTTTTTTTCCCCCTCCCCCTGTCTGTCTCTCCCCTTCTTCCTCCACCCTCACTCAGGCAAACGCTCCTGAAGGCTCTGCATCTCCCGCAGGTGGAGGGTCTGCTTTCGACACGCATCAATGACAGCCATACGATCGCCGATCTGTTGAATTCCGACACCTCGGGCCAAACCTCGGCCGACGATGGTCGCAGCTTCTCCCCGGCCTCTGGCAGCTCGCCCAAGAATGCTCCCTCGCCGGAGGTCCTGGCTCACACTCACGAACTGAGCCTCAGCCCCCCGGCTGTCGAGGAGTCCTCGCGATTCCCCCACCCGGGCTCCGGTTTGGCCCCGGCCACGCACTACCTTCCCCCCTCGGGCAATGGCCAGATCGCCCACCTGCCTCCGGCCGGGGACATTGTTGACAACCGGTACCCCGAGCCGGTTCCACCTGCGGGCGGCTACTCGGAGCCCCTGGCCCCGACAGTCTATTCTGCTCCCCACTCTCAGCTGCCGCTGCCGTCTCCGCAGCAACATCACCACCAGCAATCCCAGCCTCCGCCCCTGTCAGTGCCTTCGCATTCCGGCAGTCACTCGCATCATGCCCAGCCCTCGGGCCCCAGTGGCCTGGCCGGGGGATACTCGCATGCGCCGAGCAATTCCCACTTCCTGGGAACCCCCTTCTCCATTCCCTTCAACCAGGTGCGCGCGCGCGCGCTTCTCCTCGTCTGCCTGTGCCCTGCCTGCCCCTCATCATGTCTTTCTGACCCATGCGTGTCTGCTCCCATACATGTGTGTGTGTGTGTGTGTGTACTTGTCCTTCCCCCGGGTCCTCTCTCTCCTTTCCTCTTCTTTCTCGTCTCTCCCCTTCTTCGCCCCTCTCGCTCTCGCTCTCGCCCTCGCTTCTCGCTTCTTGCTCTCTCTCTGTCGCTTTCCAGCACGGCCTCATCCCGGCGACCTCACCCTCGTTCGACGAGCTCACCATCGCCACTCGGGCCAATCACACGGGCCCTCTGGCTCCCTCTGCCGTATCCTTCGATCTGGCATCGGTCCACCAAACCAGCAGCTCCGAGTATTACGACACCGGGTCTTCGGCCCCGCCCTCGTCATCCTCGCATGGGGGCTCCTCCGCCGACGATCCTGGGCTCCAGTGCGTTCAGGAACTCGGTGATGGAGCCTTCGGCTTCCAGCAGTGCGTTCTCGCTCCCTCTCGCTCTCTCTCTCTCTCTCCCTCATCCCCCTCCACCTCGGAATACATGCTTCCCCTCTCCCCTTCAGCTTCTTCCCCGATCTCTCGACGATACTGACCCCATCGGCCTCCTGCTCCGGCCCCTAGGTCGGTCAAGATCGAGTGCGGCCCATCGCAGGCAGCCATTGCCATGACCGAGTCCTCGCGTCTTAGCCGGCATGCGGTGGTTCCCAGCGCGGCCCCCTACCTCCCGCCGCATCTTCTCCAACCGGCGACCACCGAGACGCCGCAAATCCCCGACGAGGTGGTCTCAAGTTGCACCTCGGACGAGTCGTGTCCGTTGATTGCCGGCCCCGCTCCCGGGACACTGGTGGCGCACGCGCCCCCCCCGGCCGATGTCTCCTCCCCGGCTCACAGTTACTCTGATGGCTCGTCACCGGTGACCGGCCCTCCCCCGGCTCAGGGGCCAGTGCACCTGCTCCCGTCGAATGAGTACCATCCCTCCTCGACCGGGGAATACCATCACCCACCTGCGCCCGAGTTTCACCCGGGGGAACCGCACCCGATGCCCCATGCCCCGGATGCATCTCAGTATCATGCAGTGCCGTCACAGCAGGCGCCATCGCAGCCGCCACATGGCTACCCCTCGGCAGGGCCTCCCCCCTCGGAGTACCCCTTCCCGCAAATGGTTCCAACCCAGGCTCTCGCCCCAACCCATGCCCCCTCGATCTCCTCCACCTGTACCGTGGGGTCCGATGGGTCTCTCGACACTTGCTCTTCGGCGTCCCCCTCGCCACCACATCAGCAGCACCAGCAGCCGGCCACAGGTGCCGGCTCGTGGCAGCCGCCCGCCGCCTCGCTGCAGCAGCACCATGCCCCGGTGTCGCGTGTGATTGCCACCGCCGTTGAACGCCGGCCGCAGGCCCTTGCGACTCCCTCCTCGATCATTGGCAGCGGCCGGCAATCGGTCAAGCGTGATCTGACCACCGCGTCGCTGTACATCCCGGCCGATCAGCCGCTCAATTGGGATGTCACCACTTTGCAGCAGATTCACCAGCGCTCCATCCTCCAGGAGCATGCGGAGTTGGACGTGGCGTCGGTTCCCGCCGTGGCCGAGGCGCACCTTGCGACGACAGGTGCCGGGGACAGTCGCATCGGCACCCCCTCGCGGCCGGGGGCCCCGACCACGGTGCCCACCACGACAACGGCTGCACTCCACATCCAGTCTTACACGTCGCACGAATTGCCGGAGTACATCCACCGGAAGCTCACTCACCGTGATGAGAACTTCCGCCATGATCCGGATCAGTCGGACCTTTGCGAGCTCCTTCAAAACACCACCTGCCGGGATCGGGACATCGGCCACTGCAAGCAGACCAAGTTCTTTAAGCGGACAACTGCCACCGTGCCGCCAGCCGCCGCTGCCACCGCCGCCACCGCCTCGGCAGCGGGCGAGTCAGGCATGTAGAGCGAAGCATCCGTTTGTGCGCGTGCGTCTGTGTGTGTGTGAGGGGAGGAGAATGAGAGACACAGGGAGACAGAGAGAGAGAGAGAGAGAGAGTAAGTGTGAGCATGTGAGTCAGTGCATGCAGTTCGGGGCCTTCTCCTTGCCACTCTCTCGCTTTCTTTGTAGATTTGCCGCTTTATCGTCTTCTCTCTCTCTTGCCCGCTCTCGCCTCTTTGCTTGCCTCTCCTGTCTGCATCAACCGTGCACCACCCATCTCCGTGTGCTGTGAATGTGCTGCATCCCAAAAAAAATCCCCCTGTAGTCATATAAAAACAAATCACAATCCACTGGGTGCGCCCCGGCGCTTGGGGAAAGCCACGGCGCCGCTCCGAGTGGTCGGGTCAACGGGGCTAGATGTGAACAGCCCAGACAAAGGCGCTGAAAACAGGGGTGGTAGTAATAATAGGGGGGGGGAGCAATGGCAGCCGGCCACGATCAGGAGAAGGCGAAAGGGCACACCACTCTGAGAGGACGCGGAGGCACGACCAGAGAGGATGAGGATGTCGCCGATGTGGAGTGAGAAAGAGAAAAGCCCGGGGGGCGAGGGCGAGAGTGGGGGGATAATTCCGAGATTTGCCGGCAATTGCGCCCCACGAAGACATGGGGGTCGCCATCCTCCCGCCGAGAGGGACGGTCTCGTCGTTCATGGAGGGCAAATGCGCGCCAAATCAAGGGAGCCGAGCCGCGCTGGCTGGGTGCCATAACCGGGGAAACACTCTGACGTGACAATGTGCGCGCCAAAGGGCAGCGAGAAAATGCCTTCAGACCGGCTTCGGACCGGCTTCAAGCCGGAGGGCCAGCCTGTGCAAGCGGCGTGCGTGTCAAAACACACGACGGCGTGATGATGATGATGACGACTGGGCCCGGCCACATTGCCCCAAGATCGGGCGGACCGAGGGAGGGGGGGGGGGGGCCGGGCCGGGCAGATCGGGCAGATCGGCGCCTCGAACCGGCGGAGGGGGGATCCGGGAACGGGGGATCCCGGGTCGCCGCCCAGGTGTTGGGGCACCCGTGGGGCCCCGAGATCGGGAGCACGGCCCGGCGTGCATGGACGGGGACCTCCCCCCGCCTCGGGGATACGGGGTCACTAACGAGTCTCTGTGGGGGGGGGGGGGGGGGGGTGCTAGCGCCCCGGGGGGGCCTGGGGCGGGGACAGGGACCGGCTATTCCCTGGGAACGCTGGCCGGGTCCCAGGGCCCTAAGAGCATGTGGCGCGGCAGCCCCATGCTGGTCAAAGATGACCAAGGCCTCGCCACGAACCCCCCACCCTTGCCCCCCTTCCCTTCCCCCCCCCCCCTGTGCACACAGAACGCCAGCCCGTCCTGCGGCCGAACTGCCACGCCTCGGTGCATGACAGTTGCGCGCTCAACTTCCTCACGCCCGTGCGTCCGGCCCGCCCTTGAACCCGCGAGTGCCTAGTCACATTTCTCCGGGCGCCACACAAACGGCGATATTCCGCCTGCGCGCGCATTACACACAGGGACTTACCCCTCGCCCTGACGCCCGGCCGTCGGTCCCCGGTGAAAGCGGGGCAACCTCCAGCCGTACATCTACCCCCCCCCCCCCCCCCCCCCCCCCCCCCCCCCCCCCCCCCCCCCCCCCCCCCCCCCCCCCCCTGCCGCCGCCTCTCCCACGCCGCAGAGGAGCGTACCGTCCGCCGGTGGCTGGCCTTTTTGTCCAGATCGCCGATCCTTGGAGCTCACCGGAGCACCTCCCCTCCACCGGTTAGGCCGCCATCCGTGGAGCACCCCCCGCGCCCCGCGCCCCGCGCCCCGTCCACAGCGCCTCCTCCATCCCCTCGGCCATTCTCCTTCCCGGCGGAGGGACTCCCAAACGTGTGTGTCTTCTTCCCCCCCCCCCCCCCCCCCCGCCCCCCCTTTTCAGCCCCCACCCCCGGGTGTTGCCATCCTCGCAGATCCCTCACCCGCACCCCGCACACACACACACACACACCTGCATCTCCCGCCCCGTACCTCGCCCACCCCCGCACGTAGGGCGATGTTCTCCCTGAAGGGCACGCGTGGAATCCCCTCTCTCGGACTCCTTGCCCAACGCATTCTCCCTCCTCCGGCTGCCTTCCGGCCTCCTCTCGCGGCGGCCCTGTTGAGCACCCTCGCTGAGCGCTCGCCCGCACCCTCTCCGTCGCCCGCCCGCCGTCGCCCCGCGCCGGCCGCTTGCTCCTCCGGCCGCTGCATTCCTCGCCGACCGACATCCCCACACACCACGGCTCCCACCATCGCCACGGCTGGTGTTCTTCCTCGCTCGACTGTTGATCTCCGCGATCGCGAGCACTCGCTGCGCATTCTCCGGACCCTGGCCGAATCCAGCGCCCGGATATACCCCCTCCTGACCCCCTCTTCGGACGCAAGCGCACCCTGCCACGCCGGCACCTGTGCCTGTAGCGACGACCTCCCCCCAACCATGATGGCCTCTCCGCCAGCCTCGGCCGAGGAGCTGTTTGCCCCGCGTCTGCCGCTCGGGCAGAGCATCACCTCGTCTGCCGGGTCGCTTGACCTGGCCGCGGCAACCGAAGCCGCCGCCTCGGCTGGTCTGGTGGATCCACTGCAGCCGGCCGCCGGGGCAGCTCCCCTTCCCTCCAGCGTGGACTCCAGCGCCGCCGAGGCCACCACCTTCTACCGCCGGCCGCTCCCGGAGATCCTGGTGTCCTTCCAATCGGACGAGGGGAAACGCCACTTCCGCAATGCCATGGAAACCAAGTATCTTGAGGGGTATTTCGGCCTGGCCAGCAATTTCCTCACCCAAGCCGAGCCCGCCTGTATGTTCCATTGGCCAGGGGCGAGGGGGGGGGGGGGGGGGGGGGGGGAGGAGAGGGGGGGGGGGGGGGGGGGGGGGGGGGGGGGGGGGGGGGGGGGGGGGGGGGGGGGGGGCGGTGGGGTGGCGGTCGTGGCGGGACAGAGGTGCGGGGGGGACTAGGGGGTTCGACTTGGCTTGGTTGAGTCTGCCCCCGGTGCTAGGGACCGCATGGGGGTCATTCTCTCCGCCCACGCCATATATGAGCACTTCCCCGAGAAGCCGGTGTCCGGAGTGCACCCGGTCAAACCACACGGAGCGACCCCCCCCCCCCCCCCCCCCCCCCCCCCCCCCC